GATCATGATCATTCAAAGTTCACAGCGATACCAAATGAGATTCCTACTGCACGCGTTTTCTCCAACACAGCTTTAAATGTGTGTGCATTGTTGGGGTTAGAAGCACAGTATCAGTTGTTAAAAGATCCAAATATTCTTCATTCCAAAACGTTTTAAAATAGAGGCAGACATTTTCTGCATTGCAGGGATTCACACCCTTTTGAACAGTAACTTTTATCAGCGGAGCAAAGACTTTTCAGGGTCATTACATTATGAATGGTGGCTAACTGGCATCGCTTCATCTAACATGTCTGCGGAAAGAAAGGCCTGTATATTAGCTGTAGTGGGAACGCTTCAAAGGGAACAAACACAGAGGCGACTGTGGTAAACATCAGAGACCTGCTTGCTGGGGACTCAGGTGTAACAGGTGGCCTTTACTTCTAATAAGCAGTTCTCCCTCCCGGCAACACTGTCAGGCCACCTGCTGCTGCGCTCTTTACTTATTCACCAGGTCTCGTGTTTCTCACCTTCTACACATCATTGTCCCAACGCCACTCGGCCTAAAATTGCCCCGAAAAGCACGTTGTTTCTTTCTTACACATTGCGTTAACCTTTCAAATGAATGTGCGTGTGCATATATTTGTGTAAACAGTGAGTACCCTCCTGGGATTGAGGCACCCAATACATGTGAACCAGTCAACGCAACTGAGCCGCAGAGCAACATGGAAGAGAAAACAGTCACCAACACTTTTGCCCAGTTGGGCTTGCTTTGCCAGAAAGTGTGTGTGTGTTTGTGTGTGTGATGACCCACCCTGCCCTTCTGGTTAAGAGGTTCTATGGTTAGTGTGTCGGCTCCTATGTCGACGATCGTCCCCAGCTGGAACCCGTCGACGGGGTGGGGCGCCCACACTGGCTTCCCGTCCTCCATGGCTCACCTCCAGTCCGGCACGACCACACAACTGGGAGAGGGAGAGGGAGAGAGGTGAGGCGAGGGACGGGTAGCGTGTGGCTTGAGATAGATATGCAAAGAGAGAGGAGAGTACAAAGTTTTGCATTTTTGCTCCCACGAACTTCCCACTGAGGCTTCTGTAGCTAAAATATGTGTAGCTCACCTTTTTTTCGCCACGGCTGACGATAATAAATGTAAATGTAAACGACTGACAGAACGTACACGAACAATTCTCATAATGTCTGTAAACATCCTCTCTGACTTGTCATGGAGACTGATATCAAAGTATTTCACTGTCAAAGTGATCTACAGTGGCCTTCCTCAGTCGTTTGCATGGTGGGTTTGGGACCCGACCCGCTGCTTACCATCTGCTTCTCTATCCATTAACTTGTTTTTCCTTCTGCTGATCTTGTAATCTCTAGTGAGGACAACAAAACTCTGAGTGACCTCACATGCAGACGACTGCCCCGAGTAGAAACATCTCCCATCTGGAGCTGCATGCTGCGTACTAACTATTAGGCAGCTTGAATCTGATTGATTCAATTTTAAGTTGTGTGTGTGGGTATAATTTGGAAGTCAAACTAAAACCAGAAAATTTTGTTCAACCATTGTGAACCGACAGCTTTATTCCCTAATTGACCGGAGCAGTTTTACTCTTGTAAATGTTGGAGATTATAATTTCTCTCTGAATCCGTTGCTAGAAAAATACCACAGCATCTGTGAAAGCCGCATTTTTGCATTCGTGCCATTGAGGGTTGTTGGCAGTTATTCGTACACACACACGAGTTCTTCGAAGACAAAGGAACAACGTCATGCCAGAGTATCCCATTAGCTTTAGGGATTGAGGTCAAATGGCACAAAGGACTTAATGTTCAACAGGTACATCAATTGAGCGCAATGGAGGCCTCATCCAAGCGAGGGATCGGAGATGGTGACATGGTATTCCTTTTTATTGCATAACAACCATTTCATTGTCACTGCACAAGAGATGGCGCTCTGCACGTTACTGTTTGCAGTTTTCACCACAATCAGACTTTAACAGCTTAATTATCGAGTGTGCCACGTCTGGTCAATACACCTCCATCTGGCTTTTCTCAATAGGCCACAGCGGCTCACTCGCTTTGAGGACTTTGTGAGGCAGGGCTCGGATCGTAAGCCCTTTTTAAAAATGGAGCGATAACCTACAGCTGTTTGGCGGCTTATGCCCCAGCAAAACCATGAGGCTAAGTGGCTAAAGGAAACAACTGATCCCAAGTGCTATTTCTGCGTTCAAAGGCTTGCTTAATGGTGCTGATGCGCAATAAAAAAATATAATATAATAAGGTATTGAGTATTCAAAAACGCAATTATGTAAGTACATACACGCATTAATGAATGAAAACAATCATATCAGATGCAAGCCAGGTCAACGGGGGGGAAAAGCAGTGAGGAATGTTATCAAGGCCCCAACTAAAAGCGAATGTAAGATGTCAATGGTGGTGATAGTCCTCAGATAAACACCAAAACCACATTCAGACACAAGAAGGAGTTTAACAAACGCACCAGAAGGAGAGACGACAAAGATTACTTTGCCCAGTCCGTTATCTTCAGCCTTCAAGTGTCAGATCAAGGCTACGTGGGATCCACCAGACTGTCTTTGTTAGATGACTGATAACAACACGGCTTTCCCACAGTTCCCTATTTCAAGTCCAACGAGTCAGTATCCACACAGGAAATACGCCCGGTTCAAAAAGAGATGACCACATGTACCGTCTATGTGCCGCTCTGTGAAGGTACGATTCATACATACAATAGTTTCCACGCGCCGAGAGCAGTTTATGGGGAAAATACGGCAAACTTGCTTCCATACACACCAACGCTTTGGGTTTCTCATCCCCCATTCAAAGCAAAACCGTTAAATAAACTGCCACATCACATTGGGAGATGTTTACATTAGTGACTCCTCTACAAAACACAGTCCAGTCCCTCACGAGCAACTTTGACTCTGCAGCCCTAAAGCCTCTTAGTATCTGACCCTAATCCAGGCGGTGAGGTGAGACGCTTCAAGACTAACAAATAAAAGTCTGTGATCAGTGGCGAGACAAACACAAAACAAAAAGGCGTCCCGTGAAGCACAAACACCGGTGCAGTGCAGCGAGAAGGAAGCATAAAAGGTGCACAAAAATGAATGGACACCGGCTCAAAAAGAAGCCGGACGCACAGACAAGCCTCCGGTTTCCTGCCTCTTGTTTCCTGTTCCCAACCAGCCCAAAAAGGGAAATGGAAACACATTGATATTGAATACCAACGATGCGTATTCATCTTCTTCAAGAAGAGATGACAGAGATGCGCAGAATAATGGAGCACGCAGAGGAAACTGGACAATCAAATGAAATGAGTTCAGGACAACCTCATAATGAAATGGATTCTTGTGTACACTAACTGACCCTTCATGAATAGATCATCACGCCAACTGTGGGAGTTTGTGGTTAAACTAACGCTGTATTAAGGCAGGCAAGGCTTAAGTTAAAGGTTAACAATTCAATAAAACTACAATCAGGAAACTACAGTAACTGTAGGCTGCTCCATTCTCACACCTAGTAAGTACAGTCACGACGAGTAAATGACCTTTTGGCTAAAACAATATAAAAGTTTTGACAAACACTTACGTTCAGGTTGTCAAATTTACGATGAGGGCGACGGGACCGATTTAGGGTCCCTCAGACGGGGGTGTAGTTGTGAGTGCCTCCTTCCCGGGGCAGCGTGCGACAGACGACCGGCTGCGCTCCGCGCTCCGGTGAGCGCAGGTGACGTCACCCCGAACGCGCACGGCTGAAGGTGCGTTGAGGTGCTGCTCGTAAGATCCTGTGTCAGGTCGTTTTACCGAAGCGCCACTGAATCGCTTCGTGAAGCAGCGGAGGACATAATAGTATTTATAGCAACATATGAGCATTTTTAACAATGTCAACGTGAGAAATGGTCATGACATAGAATAGAATAGACAGTACTTTTTTTAATCGTAAAACTGCAGATTGAAGATGCATTGAGAGCATTGACAGTACATGTTGCCTTAAGAGTCATTAATATTTGAAAGGCAGGTAACTCAAACTTTTGGGGGGGATTTTTTGAAGTAGAAACCCAATCCACCATTGAAAGACGACACTGGGTTATTAAATCCAATTAGGATATTTGATACTCCTCCATTGGACAATACCTTATTACTAACACAAGATGACAGCATGTAAACACTACCAAGTAGAAAAAACAACGTAATGTTTGCATTAATTCCAAAATAATATACAAGACACAGTTAAGCACCAATTGACTATATCAAATTGACATTTGTTTAATTTATTAATGACACTAAAGTACATCTAATACTCTCCAAACATCAACTATTCACCATCCTCCATTTGGTTAATTCTTACTTATTTTAACAACACCACATTTGGATTTAAAATCTAGAAACTAATAAAATATAATATATATATATTAGTACATTGAAGATCCAGGTCAGAAGAGGTCCGCTACTTCACTAGCTGGAACAATTGCTCCCTCAGGTGGTCGCCAAGCAGATAAGCAGACCTGTACCTTAATAAGCTGCATCCCAAACCAATGATCTTATTTAGAGGAAGGCAGAGAAGAAGAGTGAAGAGAAGAGAGGAGATACAGATGATTGTCTGTGTCCCTTCTGAGAACTTTGGGGAAGCTATAGAGCCAGACATGTTATAAAAGTAAACCATCGTGTTGATTTAAAATTCCAAATGCTTAATTAATGTCATGGACACCGAATTACGTTTAACGCGTGGGAGGATTTTTCACAATATATTTATCTCCTGTTGCATATTATAAAAAGGTTTTTCATAATTTTGTTATTCAAAGAGAATTACATGACATTGCAGGCACTTTGCAAAAAATGCTTTTCTAAATATCTGATAGAGCTTAAGGTTGAGTGATTGTATTTATGGGGCCCCTCCGCTATCAATCACTTGACTTCTTTCCCAGCTAATTATCTGCGGCGCTCCAGCTGCTTTGGACTTTATCTGTGAACTGTTTACAAATTTCCTATCACAAACATTCTGTGGTGCCTGTGGAAGAACATGAAATGTTTCTGTAGGACCACCAGTGCTGAAAGCTCCTGGAAGTCTTTGCACGCTGGCTACACGGCTCTACTTTTTTATGAAAACACCTCTGCAGGTAGGCAAGCAAGCTTTTAATACACAGATTACTGTTCAGCCCCTGGTATTCATTGTTTTATTGAGTTTGTTTGTAACAAAAAAAAAGACGTTGTGGTTTAAGCAGCTGTGATTCAGTATGTTTTGTCCATTGATAACTTTATCTATACAGCATGAGTTTATCCAGAATGTTTTAATTGGATTAAAACACATAATTCATTTTCATGGTCTTTTTTTTCTTCTGAATGTTGCTCAGGAGAAATATATTGTGCTATTTAGAGGGCTCTTTTTCGGTAGTGATTCACTAAACGTATTCAAATCAGATGTTCACTTACAGCAGCAGGACGTGTTCGCTCAGGAAATTAGTAGCCTGCAAATCTCATGATTTGTGAAAGGTTTTGTGTTTACCTTTAAACTCTCTTGTTCCTTCAGTATAAGCTGCAACCAGCCAATGTAAAGGATGATAGGAGAGAAGCTGTTATTGTCCATAATAATAATGTCTGTGCTGAGTTTGTCGAATGGACAGCACTTGACAGAGGAGTCCTGCACGGTTCAGATCCTTGTCCCCGGCCTCAAAGGCAAGTAATAATACATCGTCATCATACAGGGAGAATTCAAAAAATGTAATCCATCTTCATTAGTTCTTTCATTATTTTGTTTTCTGCAAAAGGAGAACCTGGAGAAAAGGGTCAGAAAGGAGCACCGGGGAGACCAGGAAGAGTTGGCCCACCGGGAGAGATTGGTATAGAATATATTGTATTTCTAAATGCAGAGGAAAACATTAAGCATCCAATCGCAAATGCTGCATCTTGTTCTTTTGTAGTACTATGGCTAAGCTGAAACAAAAGAAAGAGCTGGGGTAGAAATCCCATTGGTGGGGCTGATAATATACTGTTACATCACTGCCAGGACATCCAGAGTGTTTACATCTGGCTGAGAGGTTGGGGGAGAAGCGATTTGGGAGTTTACTGCTGTCGACAAGTGTTTACTGAAGACCTTAATGAGGAGCAAAGGGTTTTCACAATGGCAGAAGTTTAAGAATTTCAATTGACAATGTTTGTTCTTTGAGGGCGAAAAAACAAGACGCATGTGCCTTTTTAAACCAATTGGATTGTCACATAATGTTCAATCACTCTCTTTTCAGGTCAAACTGGAATTAAAGGTCAGAAAGGCATAATGGGACATTATGGGAAAATGGGCCCAAGTGGAATGAAAGGTAATCCAAAAACACAAATGTACTCCGCTTGGTTGTTTTACAAGAAATATAATGAATATTAATCTCAGGGGTAAAAGGAGCCATGGGGGATCCAGGTACTAAGGGCCCTGATGGAGATCCAGGTGATATATTATTCCATTTTATTAAGTTTGTCAAACCGATTCTAGAGATACAGTTGGTGAAATTCGAGGGATAATTAAAACGGCTCTGTGGTAATCCCCAACATTTCCTTTGCCTTATCAGGAGTTCCATATGAGTGCACACCAATGAGAAAGATGATTGGAGAAATGGACATTCTGGTTGCACAGCTCTCCTCTGAACTGAAATTCATCAAAAATGGTAAGGTCGATCTTGGGATTGCCTTTTTTAATTAATAATGTTTTAAAAACCCCAGTTCTTGAAACCTTGCTATTGCTTCCCTTATTATCCTCATAGAACTGCAAATTGTGGGCATGTCAATGCGAAACTTGTAGAAATACAAGTGCTCATTTTTCAGCACTGCCCTCCCCTGCAGCTGTTGCTGGCATAAAAGAGACGGAGAGTAAAGTCTATCTGCTGGTCAAAGAGGAGAAACGCTACTCCGACGCCGAGGGCTACTGCCAGACGAGGGGAGGGCACCTGGCCATGCCCAAGGACGAGGGCGCCAACGCGGTCGTCGCAGACTACATAACCGAAGCGGGCCTGAGCAGAGTCTACATTGGCATCGACGACCTCCGCCGCGAGGGCCTTTTCACCTACGTAGATCTCTCTGCCATGACCACTTTCAGCAAATGGAGGAAGGGGGAGCCCAACAACGCCTACGACGACGAGGACTGTGCTGAGATGGTGGCCTCCGGGGAGTGGACTGACGTGGCGTGCCACCCCACCATGTATTTCGTTTGTGAGTTCGACAAGGAGAACGCCTGAGTTCAGTTTTCTGATGGCGAAGCAAAGGTTATATTGAGAAGTGTAAATGCTCCCTTTTTACTTTTCCTGATAAGATATTTATTTTGTTTACTCACTATAAGTCCATTCTTTCTATGAGAATTTACTCATTTTAAGTGCACCCTCAATCTCATACTAGGTGATTCATGTTTCAAACAGAGTTTTTATGTAATACAAACTATCCAATGAGAAATATTAACAATAGCAAACACGGCCATCAACAAACAAGGCAAATAAGCAAATGTGAACAGATGCGGTTTAGGCATAAAATATGAAATTAAAGATTTTATTTCCAGTTGTGTGCCGTTAATCAAAGATGTAACACAATATGCATTCTACATCTATATTCACATTATAAGTTATGTGCTTGTTGTTGTAAACTCCAAACAATCATTGATCATTTTAGAAAGAAAGAAAGAAAGAAAATAAGTCTTATGCCTTATTTTCCGCCACTGCTATGACCACATTTATCTGCAGCAGCTGAATCACACTGAGATCCAATAATAAGGCTGGCTGACTTCAAGTGTGCCAGAAAGTCCCGGCAGCATGAGCCAGTCCCCGCAGTCCCTGTGGGAAATATGTTTTGTGAAAACAGATGCTCCTGTTTAAAACATATCCACAAATTGTGTACACTGAAAATGTCTTTGTCTTTGATTGTTATTTTTTTGAGGGATATTTTTTTGACTGATTGTTGGAGATTTCTCTCAATTAACATTTCTTTGGGGAAATGTTTGAATCCATCATAAGCAATGAATAAAATCTGTTAATGTGCACTAAACAAATTCTACAGAGTTAAATCGAGTTAAAACCGATTGTTCTGCTGTCATATGAACAGTCAAAAGTTTGGACACACTTTCTCATTCAAATTGAATGACAACGTACAGTATAACCAAACCTTTTGACTGTTATACTGTTTATTATTCAAAAATAATCCATTCTCTAAACACGAGTAGAATAATAAACACATTACAGTCGGTAACAATATGACATCACCCTGTTGGATGAATGACAAAAACAAGGAATATACCCCAGGTTAATCATATTTTTAATATTGGAAAATCCTCTGCGGTCTAGTTGTGTGATTAATAGAAGTTGTCTTACAGCCCTGGCTACTATTGTGTTTTCTGGAAGTATTCCAGCTAAAATGATATCTTGAGTCCCTTGAGTCTCTCTATGAAGAGGAATTTGAATATGCATAATGCAGTTCTCCCAATAAAGCACAGGACCAGTCCCTCAAGACATGAATAATTAATGCTGAGATGAATTATGCATCTAATTGACCAGGAGTTGTCTGGCATAAACCAATACGGTTCCATTGTTGTTAGTGCAATCTCTGGTTACGTTTGTAACCAATTTGGACAGCTCTGTCAAATACTAGCAAATTATCTGTGGCCTGCAAAATTAGATATGGCTACAATGCATAGAAATATATATTTAAAAAAAACTGCTTGATTACATATTCACAATATCCACAGTGGAAATACCATTTTTGTACTGTAGTTATGGTGTTTTAGCTCTCCCACCTAAATGGAGTGAAGTGTAATTTGTCTTTTTACAATTTAGAAAAAATGACTTTGAAAAGGAAATTACATGAGCGCTGTACAGAAGTCACCTGTTAGTTTTTGGTAAATGTGCGAAGGAAAGTGGAGTTATAGAGTGAAATGTATGCCAACTGAATAAGCTTTGATTTGATTATATTCGTGGCGATAAAATATACAGCACAAAGCTTTAAAAAATCCAATTAATTAAACGTATATGGTATAGACACAGAAATATGCAATCAGTTTTTATTAAATAATATTCATAACTATTATAACAGTACTGAATAATGACAATAATATGAACATGCCTACTAATAAAATGTTGTTCCCAGTATTCTGTAGCATGCGTACATGTAAACAATATAGCCAAACTATACGTCATCTAACGTTAATATTCAATAACCGACGCGTTTTCCCCCTGTTAGTTGCCATGGAAACACAATCGTTTTGGAGACAAATTCCGCACTAACGATATCTAAGGTCACACACACACAAATACACAACTAACATTAGCCGACAACAACGCAGACGGTTGTGAACGTGAGATGTTTCCATATCAGATTGCGTCTCCGGAGGCTTCACACACCGCCCGGTGTCACATTTGCTCTTGACACCCAACCGGCGCCATTGTTCTTTGGTTCGTTTAGGCCGAACTCCACCTCCCACCTGTTCGCCCGGCGCTCAGGATGCAGGAGCCGGCGGGGAGAGCTGCTCGCCCGCCGCCGACCAAAACCATCGTTGTCTACAAGAACGGAGACGCCTTTTTCACCGGGAAAAAACGGGTCCTGAACCCGCGCCATCTCTCAACTTTCGACAACTTTTTGACCTCTCTGACCGAAGAGCTCGCCGCTCCGTTCGGCGCCGTGCGGAGGCTGCACACGCCCGCGGAGGGCCACCGGGTTCACGGCCTGGACGACTTGAAGCACAGGGGCGTCTACGTGGCGGCCGGAAATGAGAAGTTCAAGAGGCTTGAGTAGGTACCACGCCGGAAGTCGTGTTTTCAGTGTGTGTGTGTACGTTAACAGATATACTTTGTATATAACGCAAACAACATATTAAACAACAACAGCGAAATGGAGGTTCTTACTCTATATTCATTCAGGGCTCAAGGGTTAGAATGGCCTAAATTAACTCTTTAATAAAGCCTCAATGTTGGGTTCACTTGTTGTGACCCGACACCACCACCACCAGTTTAGCATTCCATTGGTACTTACAGGTTACTGGGAATCTTGGGTTTGATTAATTTACATTATTTATTTCCTTCCAGCTATTGTAAGATAGCAACAACCAAGAGGCCAGAAAATATGAAAAAAGAACCGGTAAGGCATTTTTTAATAATTAAACGCAGCTTCCTTTTAGTAGAAAGTTTCATGCCGCTGAAGGCTGACCCATGTTCCCTTACAGAGGTCTGAAGGACGTTTGGGGCCAAAATGTCATAATAAATGTCCAGTTATTACACAGACACGCTCCTTCCTTATTCACCATTGACTCTTAAGTTTTGAAATTTTCAGATTCTTCCCGTTGTTCACAGCAGAATAGTAGTTCCTGCTCGCTGGGAGAGAATTAAAGAGTCATGCACGATAAAGTGAGTGTTGATTTTTAATATTTTCAAAGTGATCCTAATGTAGCAGTCAATATTCGGTTCTCCTATGTCGTAATAATATTGTTTCATTTTCAGCTACTAAAGGCCGATTTTTTTTTGTCTTCTTTTTTTTTTGTTGACTCTCATAGTGTTTTCATCAACGGCGATTTATTGGTTGATCCTGTTCGAATACGGATCCCAAAATATACTCTCAGAAGCTGGGAAAGCGTTTTAGCCATGGTCACGGAGAAAGTGCGTCTTCGCACTGGTGCTGTGTACAGGTGATGTCTGACAATATTAAAAAGAATGACGTTGGTCATCTACCAGTGACTGCAAGCAAAGGATATTTTGGATATTTAATTAGTGTACTTTTGTGTTGTGCTGTTTTTCCCTTTTTAAAAGGCTGCATAATTAAGTATTGCTTCAATTTATAGAATTTCCTCTATTTGAATTCCCAGGCTTTGTACAGTAGACGGACGCCCCGTCTCCGACCTCGCTGAACTGCAGAACAACCGGTACTACGTTGCAGTTGGTGCAAAAAAGTTTCAACATCTCCCATATGTTCAGCGCATCCCCTTCGTGGATCGCATGGGGAAAAACAACGCGGTCGAAGGGTATGACGCTTGTCATTTCCAACACTAGTAAGCACCGGATGATTATTTTGATGTAAAAAGGATCGAAAAAAACATCCTCATCCACTCATGTTTCCCTTTTTCCCTCTTTCAGCAATGACACGCTGCCGGCGGTTAAAAAGACAAGCCGCCCAATGGATAAGGTGAGGTAATCTTTGCTTCAGGGTTGGGTGCAGTTTGCCATCTGGTTGTTTACTTCCCCCCCCCCTCCCGGTTTATCGCTGTAAACACCTTGGTTGTATCATCGTTGTAAAGCGTATCTTTGAACACACAGCATTTCAATTAACATTCCCCACGTGTGAGACTTGTTGTGGGAGTGCATTTCGTTATGAAACAGCGCGATCATCAATCACTGTCTGCGGGAGGCATTGAGTTACGTTTGCTTTCAACTTTGATGGGTAATCCCCAAAGAGAAAGGCTGGCCCACTTGATCAAGTGCAGTGAGCCTCATAGACAGATCATATACACCAGGGGGAACTTCACCGACTGAAAACAAACCCCCCCCCCCATCTCATTCAAACCAGAACCGGGACAATTTGTATTGTGATTAAGTAGACAGTGAAGTGCTTTGAATCCATGTGAGGATTGCGACGCGGTGGGCCCGAGCTGAACACCAAATCACACGGCGAGGACGAGAACATGCCCACTCAGCAAGTTGAGGTGGGGATGGAGGAGTGGGGGGGGCTGTGCGTGATGTGTCAGACATCAGATTGTTCTAACCATGAAAGATGACAGATGCCCGTTTTTCAGATAGAGAAAAATATCCCCATGTTTTGTCCCTATAGCTGTATCTGTGGCTGACGACATTATACTCACAATGAATATTTATGAATGTGTTGAGAGAGAAAAAAAGATTCAGTTTTTTCCTTGGCATCCATCCAATCATGAAACAATAGATATCAAACTTGGCCAAACTGAGGTACAGCCCAACGTAGGAAAACTATGCCAAGGCCACATGCTTTGTCATTTCACACAGCACCATGAGGTGGAGACAGAGACGGAGTTATGGCGGTGTTTTGCATTCAATGGACTCGATGCTGCCGCATTTTACTCCCTCCGCCTCCGTGTGTGTGAACCCGAATCTGTAAACATGATTTGACCAGTTAATAAGGACCTTTCGGAAGGTGAAAAGATACATGTGACAAAAATCTTCCGCTCCCTCTTGATCTGTCGGCCGAGTCGGTTGCTGATGATCACACAGACACACACACACACACATTTATGGGGTCATGTCCGTCATTAATTTCAGTTTGACCTCACAAAACAACAGCGGTCTGGTTTTGAAATGCCTGTAAAAAAAGAAAGAAAAAGAAGATCCTTTTAAACAGCCGAGGCTGCGTAAAATGTAACCTTGCTGTTGCAACCTTGCGGCATGGGGACGGCGTCCGTCGGCCCCCCGACCGCAGCGGCGAAACGGGACATCTGGCCTGGAGCGACCGCTGAAGTCTAAACCGACGGCTCTGCAGAGTGTAGCGTGGAAACTCTCCAGCACACCAGGTCCCCATCGGGAGCGAGCTCATATAATACGCTGAGTTAGGTGTTCAGACACGATGAGGTAGAAACTTTTGAGGTAGTCGTCGCATAACGAGAAGATTAATAGGGGGAGTGGAGGGGGGGGGAGAAAAAGAGAATAATGATGTGTATCAAAGCGAAGTGCTTTCATATTACAGTGGTAGTAATGAGCGGAGCGATCGGGCTTCACTCGTACTTCACAAGAAGCATCCGGTGAAAAAACAGCCCAGAAAAAGGCTGACTAACCCTTTTTTAATAGCTGCACTCTCCCTGACATCAGCGATGACTTGCTGCTGCTGCTCTCCGCTCCTCCGCCGCTTCCGCATGATGTCATCGCCGGGAGGGTGGTGGGGGGGTAAGCAATGCCCCGCGGACGGCTGTAACAACGCCCTCACCGCTGCCAGCGTGTCTGGTCACAGAGGAGCCCGGGGCCCACGAGTGGCTCCTACTGATACGCAGCCAGGGTCGGGCCAAACGCCCCCCCTCCCCCACCACCGCCCCGGTTTCCCCCTGGCTATCATATCACGCTGTCCTCTTGCTGACTCCCGTTCTCTGCCACTTGAGAGAGTCACCATTTTTTTTTGTTTTTTTGGTTGTCTTTTTATTTTTTCTCGGCCCCCCCTGAGCCCCCTCCACAGTTACTCCAGCCCCCCCCCCCCCTCTCTCTCTCTCTCTCTCTCTCTCCCACGGTCTCTCTCTGGGGCCTCCTGATGCACACGGTTGGCGGCTCCCACAGGACGCGGTACTGTGGATACGTAACGCAGAACGAGAGGCGAGCCGACCTCAGCCCCTTTTCGCTGGTGCCGTACTCTCTGCTGCCCCCTCGTCCTCTGCTTTCCCCTCCCAGAGTGAGACAGTCTTGATATAACTCTGTTGATTTAAATAACATCTATTTACATCTCACCACCGGGCTGTAAACATGCAAAACAAGCAGCTACATGTTGGATTGCCCCCGATGCATCTTGAACTTTTGTGGAGTAAGTTGCTGCGCATCGCGATTATGAAACCGTGTGAATTTGCAGCTCGCAACCGCGACAGCGCCGCTGCTGCTCCGTCTTTGATCCTGTGTGGATGCGTTGGACACTGAGTGTGAACTCTGTTTCAACTCTCCTTCGCCTAACGCACCAGGCAAACTTAACTCTGGCTTTTGTTGTTTTTCTTTTTTTTTTTTTTCTTTTCCTCCCTTGGCCCACCAACGGCTGCAGGAATTCAAACGAATATCCACAGACTTTGCCTCTGTCTGCATTTAAACAAAGCAAACAAGCGAAGAAACAACGCTGGCTTTTCCCCGGAGGCCATGTTAGTGAGCTTGCAAACACCATTGCCAGAAGTGTATTCTGGTGGAAGCCTGAGATCACTACACTATCCCCTGAGCCAGCCCAGGGATCCACCCAGGCAGCCGCAGCAAAGACACGCTAAGTCTGCTCCATCCTGCTCTCTGCGAGGGAGACGCACCTCAGCTCGCTACCTGCAGAGCGGACGAGGAGCCTGTGAGGAGAAAATTGCCTTTTTGTGGAAGCATTAATTCAGATGTGTACCCTGCTGTCTGAACATCGCTCTGAACTCGCCCCACTGCTATCTCTCTCTCTCTCTCTCTCTCTCTCACCATGCTACTAAGTCTAAAGCAACCCCCCCCCCCTTCTCCATCAATAACCTTCTGCTGTCTACTACTGAAGAATAAGTTATTCCCTACGACTCCCTCCTTTCCCTTTTAAGCTTGTTTGGATTTTCATTGTTTGATCTGGCTTGATAAATAAGACAAATGCAGTTAGAAATTCATGGCTGCCCCCTTCTCATCAATAAATGATTAGTTTGCCACACTCCCCAGTGATTGATAGGTTGTGCGCGGGATGTATTGGAACCAGATGAATTCAATACAGTAGGACTCACGGGGGAGCTACAAAGCATATCAGCTCATGAAAAATTGAGGTCAATGTAAAATGTAAAAAAGAAAGAAAAGCAGTGAAAAGGCCGGTGAAACAAGTTTCGCCCTGATGTGTTTTGTCGTTTTGTTTTCTCCCTCCTGGATGATGAATCACAGAGCTATCTGAGGGAATACGCCTTAATCTGTGCCCCCTGATTCCCTCCTCTCTCTCGTCTCTCCGTCTAGTTTGCTCACGCAGGCTTTGGAGAGGACCTTGAGCACACAGCCAGGGGCCAGATGGAGAAAGAAGCCCAACACCAGACAACCAAACAACACAAGCAGGTGTCCAGGAACCCAGTTCTCCCCTCCACATGGGGTAAGCAGAGCAATTTTATAGAAATCTCTCCCCCTCTCCCCCACCCCACCCCCCCACCTGTCCTCTCTTTTTCCCCTCCAACACCTCCTTTTTCCCACTAAGACAATATCCTGTGAAGCGATTTGTATGGAAGTGGTTACAGTACTGTACGTATGGGAAGGGCTACATTTTGACACATATGGGGCTTGTTCACCGTTAGATATTCCTCTGTGGTTTGTATGCGAGGACCTTGTGGACCAAGGAGGCAAACACTACTTACAGTTAGCGGGCGAAGGAGCTTTCCTTGGATTGTCAACCTGTTTTTTAAAGTCCAAACAGAACCCAGCCCCTTGCTCACTGAAGTAATCGCATGTGAGTATTAAACCCAACAAGACTTCAAACATGGTCAACGTTGCTTGAATCATAGATTAATTCAATCACGCCAATTTGTTCAATATGTATCCAGAAAACCATGTTGCTTTATTATTAAAGTAAATAATGCTGACATAAGAGCAGAAATGGGACAAAATACTTAGATTAGAACCCTTCGGAGCATCATATTGGTGCAGGACCAGAATTCCTTTCTTCCATCATTATGTCTTTTTCTTACTGGAGACAGTTCAGAAAACAATCAGAGTGGAATCCATCACTATAAAAACAATGAAGTTTATATATTTTGTAGCGATCAGATCCATCTGACTGTCAACCACCTACATTCTCTATCCTTTCCTTTGCCTTATCACTGATTAATCCTCCATGCCTTTTTTATTTATTATTTAAATCAAATTACTCAAGGCTATTGAAGTTGATTCAAGCTCAATAGTGTGTTTAATTATTGACATTCCACCCCGTCCAGCAGCCCCAGAGAAATAGCAGTTTGTTTACCAAGGAAAACAGTGTGACGTTTCCGTATAAGCGATTCCCCGCATGCATCAAGAGCAACCTCTCCCTGTCAGGAGCTAACCCTGGACGGAAAGTTCACGCTCGCTGACCATATTTGTGGCAGGGCAGCTGTGGCTTTCCGTGGCCCTTTCCGTCTGTGGGACCACTCTAAATAAATAAATGGCTTGACAGCAACATTGATCTTTTGTGGAGTTGAACAGGAGAGGCAAAGGGAGAGGGCAGTGAGGGATGGAGGGGTATAGAGAGGGAGAGAATGAGTGTGCACAAGAATGAGACGGGGACTGCCAGCCGATGAGGTAATTGTGATTAATCACTTTTCTCAGAGGGCAGCGTGTTCAATGCACAAAACAAAAGAAGTGAGCTGGCAGGAGCAACGGAGGTGCAGGAAGACGGCCGGTTGAAGGCAGACCTGCCTATTGATCAGGTAGAACACGAGCACATACTGCACGGCGACCTGGGGAGGTAATTAGCATACAACCTTTCAACAGTTTGGTCCTATTTATCCGGCAAGAAGTAAGAATTGATTACTTGTGTCTTTGTTTTATTTTGATAATTGAGAATACACGTCTGGCACAGTGCAACATCATTTTCTTTTCAGAATGAGATTGGCCAAATGCTCAGATTGCATGAATTTATAAATATCTAGCAAAATCGATGCAGCAGCATAGTACACTGTAAGCCAACGGGGATGTTGTTTTCTCGCTCTCTGCAGGTCGAGGCCAAGACGGTTGACGAGGAGTGTGTGGATGGCGGTCGTTCTGCGAGTCCCCGTGAGGCCTCCCAGCGTGTTTCAAACAGCTTGTTTCTGCAGAGGTTTTTGTCTGCAGGTTCCAGGAAAAATGTAAGAACCCTTACGATGAGTTTTGTGTAGTTAATATTTTACGTTTACTTCATTTTAAGTTAATCATCATGGCCAATTTTCTAATTTGCCTTTGGATAGGGCCACACAATAACGGTCAGAACAGCAATTAGGTGATCAGCATTCCCATAATTGCAAAAGCAACAAGCAGACCTGCTTCAAGCAACTCTATTTTTTTTCTAATTTGATTCCCTGTGTCCATGGTTCTCTGTGGAATGTGTGATTTTCCAGGCCAGCCTTTCTGCGAGCCAAGGAGACCCAGACACGGGGCACAATACTGGTGCTGGAGGCACAGGGTTGAAGAGCCTTCAGCCCCAGGTACAACTTTATGTGACTATAGTTTACAGAGCTTAGCTACGGTCTCAGATACTCAGAGCGCCAGAACAGTATGTAGTAGCATTTGATGTATTTGACTCTGGTGATTGTGTACGTTCCCAGTGATGAAGCAGGGCTGAGCTGTGTATTCAGATGTTTTTGCATGGATCTGTGGTTCCCAGACACATTACAGTCATTTAAATACACTTATTTTCCTCTAATAATCCTCGAGGGACGGCAGTATGACGCAGCATAACTGTGATGAATGCGCACAATAGTTGGCTGATATTACTATTCCAAGCAATTTCATTCAGCTTTGAAATGAGAAGATATTGAGTCTTATTTAAGCAATCAATAACCTTGAACATTTTGTTTTAATGAAAACTATCATTTCAAGCAGTGGCAATTACACCATAGGGGAATGTTTTGGTGTGGTGATGTTTGCTGCCGTATGCACTTTTGCAATAAAGATATTCTTATCGGAGTAATTATTGACTTCTGGGGGGCAGTTATGACCCAGGCTAAAGACCTCATCAATCGCTTAATTCATTACTTATCACTTTTAGTCATAGAGGAATGTTGTCGATTCAGATTGGCTATGGATTGCAGGGGAAAGACCATCAGATAATATAAAATGAAATAATCCCTGCTACAAACGCTACCTTTTGCAATAATCATCTCGCCCAGCACGATGTGATTTGTTAGCTAATGAAGGCTGCCATTAGGAAAGGTGGGATTGCTACAAGCTCTCAAGTGGAAAGCTTCATGCCAGAAAACATCTTTAGGATGTAGTTTTCAGCTTACACCAGAAGAGTCCAAATTGTATTCTGGAGAAGTTTAAGGAGATCTGAAACTACTTTTACCAAACTTTCTTTAAAGTAAAGCGTCCACTTTTGATCTAATTTACTGACAATTTTATTTTTTCTTTCAACCTTGTTTCCGATGAATTCATTCAAGTTTTCATCAGACCAGAAATAATGATCCCGCAGGTGAGACATGACCGAACTTAAACTCGGACCATCATTGACGCATACTCGCCAATTTTCCCTCTGAGTCCAAACAGACTGTCGCTGTCTCGTTTCCGGCAGCCTCATCATTTAGAGGGCTGTGAATAATAATAAGGGGATAACTGCACTGCTATGACTCATACTTTGAGCTGAGTTCAGACAGATTTCCTCCCACTCCGGCGCTCAAATGTGCTCGCGAAATGCATATATGTGCATCTATATAGTAGATATTGATGACCAAATTCAATTACATGATTACATTTTCAGCCCAAGCTTTAAATGATTTATTGCAGTGAATTTAAATAGTGAATACATTTACAGACGTTACACCGGCGAGGCAGTTGTGTGTGTGTGTGTGTACGTGTGATATTGACCTGTGTGGTCCAGGCCAAATAAAGAATAACGAGATTCAGCATCTCTGCCAAGAGGAGATGTCCGCTGGGAGTGAAGGCGGGCTATCAGTGGAGGAGAGCGAAGGATGGCGGACCGGAGCCCGATGCACATTTATCAAAGCTTTTCTTATAATCACATGACCGACTTTTGTTCTGCTTTCTGAAGGTTGGGTTTTCCTGTAGAGTGCGCTCTGTTAAGGAGTTGATTGATTTTATGAGGGGGGACTCGGTGCATGTTGAAGATGTCATACACTTTGAGGAAACGTGGACAAGGGTACACTTGCCATTTGTTGCCATTTCCAAAGCATTTGTTTGGATTTAACAATATTGGCTGATTTATCTACCAGTGAGCTAAGCATTTTTCTTAATTAATATTGTTAGAAATGTCAATACAACTTGGGATGTTTGATCAATTGTCTTCCTCTTCTTAAGAATTTTGTGATAAGGAATCGAATCATTATTGAGCGCTGCATTGATCCATTCCTTTCCTTTTCCAATGCAAGTCCATTTCATTTGTCTTTCAGCTGTTTTTCCGTGCTGCTATTCCCTGAAGCTTAGGTTAGCCATTTCAAAGGCCCTATTCTCCCCATGCAAGGTCAACTATAATCAACTCTAGACAATGTCACCGCCTTACATTTCCAGAGAGCCAGGCAGAGGAAGACGACTCCTCTGGGCTTTTAAGGACCTACTGCATTATACCATTCAATTACTGTTCATTAGACAGTGTACAGTCATTAATCAGGCCGAGATGTTCTGCTAGTCCTCAGCGGGGACAATGAACTGGGGAAATGTATTCTGGTCTCCTGTCTGGGCCGCTGTTTAGCGGTAAGAAGAGAGATGACACTTTAGAATGCACTGAAGCTTCCAGTGCCGAGACGTCCTGGACGGAGCCGCTTCTCCATGTTCTGTAACCGTTTTCTGCTTCATGCCGCTTTTGTCTTTGAGTTTTAAGAAACTTTGGCTTTGTCCGAGATTTACTGCACATGTGGGTGAGTTATACGAACCTGATAGATCACTAAAAGGGGAGAAACCTGGCAGATTTACCGATCAGAGCGGCATATGCATCGAATGTGACTAGATGATGATATGAGAAACTGATTTATGTTTTCCAGGAGGCTGAAGCGATGGAGGTGCGTTCCGGGCTCGGTAGAATGCAGTCACGGGTGTTCCGGTTTTTCAAGGGTAGGTTCATCAAAGCATAAAACCTGGTAGTAGCTCACTGGCAGCAGTGGCGGCGGCCCCCGCGTTCCCCTCCGCAGCACCTAATGCACCCATAAAGAGACGACTAATACACTCTGCATTACCAGTTCCTCCCTCACATCGCATGTCACCGGATCTGCAACCACCTCTCAACATCTGGGAGAGCTTTACGCCATGGTTTATGGAGACCATCTGGTCGAGATTTTTTTTTTTTGTGCCTTTCCCAATCTCAGATGACTTATTCCTGTATTAAAGGCACCTGCACATCAAGGTGTGCCATGCTGAGAGCCAGGGATTATTCACCGCTCTTTATATTTCCCATGTCGTTTGTAATTTGGAACCACTCAAACAGAATGAGATGTCCCCTGTTACAATGGAAAATCCTTATGGAAATCCATTTTACATCCCCTCCATGACTTCTTACTCTTAAGTAGGATTGCATGGTCTGGCTTTTATTTTATTGATCTGGAGAAGAACACATCTGACAAAATATAAAATAAGTGCTATACACATTTGATTATCTGGGCGGAGGGGGGTGTTCAAAAACACCAAAGAAATGATGTGAACTTGACATTCTCCTTTTTTTTTCTCTGGGTTGTGCCATTCTGCTGGTTCAGGCAATTTCCTAGTAATTGCCTTCAAAACACAGGCTTTGGTAGTCAGGCATCCGCATTTGTTCCCTGCAAAAATTCCAAAAGTGACTTAATGGAACGGGATGTGAGTCGTTATCACCGCCTGCCCTCCAATCCGAGGTTCGCCCCGTCGGTGTGACACCAGGAAAATCGCTGCATCCTGCGCTAACAGCATACTCCCAACCTGGCTTTCATAAAAGTACACATCCGTGCACAGGCTCACGCACAGAGTTACCTGTGTTTCCATCATACACTTGTGCATGTTTTTCTTTTTACATAAATGCATTCTCTTTCATTTGTCCTCATATTGATAGCAAGTTGAGATGCAGAATATGTACAATGATCTATTGCCGACTATGATTTCCCTGCAGAATATCAATGGCCACAGCAGGGGGCATTTGAAATATATCACAGCACATTATGGCTCGCAAACTCCAGACCCGTGTCCTCGTTTTTCTGCTCCTATAACATGATATTGTTGTTGCTGTTTATGAATGATTCTCCATCATCCACGCCTCACATTCCCAAGCTGTCACAGTCTATCTGCAGATGGCACGGATGCAAAGCTTAACAGGACACTCGCCGTAGAGCAGAGGGAAGATGTGAAAGGAAATGCAAGCGATGGCTAACTGAATCCAACCTGCACGTCACCTGCTTTGCATCTAAATGTCAATGGGCCAGTTTTTATACTAGAATCTATCAGCTGATTGAAAATAGGAGGCCTTATTATAAAAGCAAATGTACCATCAAAGTACTTCCCCTACCTCCTTCATATACTTTATCCGAGGTATTCCATCTTGACTTTCATGTGTAAAAGCGAGATTCCACTGCGTTCAGTTCGGCGGAGATTCTCCTTCAGAAGTTATTGGCACCATGTACAATGGCCTTATAATTTACGAGAACTGTTAGGGCCTCTGGCAGAAGTTGTAAAGCATCTTGACTGATTGGGTAGATATGATATGTGTGTAGTCAAGGCATATTGTCGCCTGTTCGTGTGCAAGACATTCAGGGAGTTGCATGGCTCGCTCCGTCGCAGATAAATTACTCTACAGTCAAATTAAGTTGTTGTAAATCACCTCGCGGAGCCAAGTCCATTCCTGAATGACGACCTTTACGCCTATTTGACTTTAAGTCTTATTTACGTTAATCACATCTGTATTATACCGACAGTAAAATTGTGTCATATAGCGAAAGGTCATTGTTTTGCAGTGCAGCGCATGACGGGGCCAAAAAAAAAAACCTCAACACATTTTGTGAGAAGGATAGTTTGACTCTGGAATACTATTTTATTTGTTTATATCTATATCGGTTTCTTTCTGTCTTGTCTTTTTTGCAGGAAAATGAAATTCAATCAAAAAGGTATGTATAATGCACAACATCCATTAACAGTGGGGCGCAACAGTGCTCCGCAGTTGCCACTGGGGGTTTTGCTTGTGCCATGTTATTGGATTGTTATATTACACGTTGGAACAACCTTTTGCACATTACAGAAGCGGATATCAAGTGCTCATTAAATCCATCCACAAAGAGATTTGTCACATTTGCGACACTAAAGTAATCCAATGTTCTACGGATGTCAGTCAACTACAATACATCTTATGATACAGAATACATTTTTTCATCCTCCGCTCTATTCACCCTTCTTCGTAGAGCAAAGGCTTCGCTGTGGGAGAATGAGAGCCTTTGTTAGCGACCGTAAAGTTGGAAGAAAATATATGCTTTTCTTCTCACTCATCACATACATACATGTCACGAAACGCCTTCAAAGGACAGCAGCTCCCAACAGAAATAGGTTCCTTCTCCTTTTTATTTTTACATTTACATGGTGGGGGGGGGGGGGAAATAATAGGTTCCAAAGGCCGTGTGTTGAAAATCAGCCATGGGGACGGGAGAGAGGGGTCCGCGTGTGATCTCCGCTGCACTCGACATGGCAGCCTCTGTGAAGTGCACCACTGCCCAGTTACACATTAACTTTGATTGCCAGTTTGTTCTGTGCGTGGCCCGTAGCTCTGAACCGCGTCTTGAGATGAAAGCCAACCTTGTCCACAGTGTGTCCACCGTAGACTGCTGCTGCTGCTGCTGCTGCTTTTTTTGCTTCAGGCACCATCAAGGACTGGGACAATTGTTTTTCTAACCACGCTGGGGATGAGCAAAATGTATAATTTATCAAACAATGCATCCCGAGACAGCACCCCGTCTCGACTCATTTTAATTTAATGCCTCGTCTCTCTTCCTGCGTCTCGCGTTGACTTCGGTCAATGTATGAAACCATTTGAGGTTTGTCTTTGTTGTGTCCAGCAGAATAGGACTTTGATATTAGCGGTTCCGATGGCGAGAGCGTCTTCACTCATTGCCCATCTGCACCCCCCCTCCCTCCCTCCTTTTCTCCCTCTCCCTCCCTCTTTCTCCCTCCTCTACGAGCTACAGCCACAGAAGTCCGTGTCAGACTGCTACGGACCAGACGTCCTCGTTCTCTTCTGTCTCCAGAAGCCATCTGCTCATGTATAAGATGAAACAGTGTTATAAACCAAATAAAAATGTCTTGCCTCCTGACAGCCCCACCGTGGATATATGGCCTCTTATTTCACTGAATATATTGCATAATTATGTATGGTTATGAATATTGCATGACGCCTCACACTGAGTGCATGGTAAGATGCCTAATTGCCGAGTTTAATTATTAAGAAGCAAAGGTCCTGAGCGGGTTTTGTGAGAAGCACTTTTGATAAATTATTTTTTGCAGTTTTGTGATGAATTATTTTTTTGGGGGGGGCGCTTGTGTCTAATCAGCAGGCATAGTGAGCGGCGTAACTGCTCTTGAGAGAGACTTATCTTCCCATGGAGAGGGATTACCATGCTGATTAAATCCACCGAAATCAACTAATAACTTAATGATATTGGAGTGGATCAAAAGAATGAATCACCGCCTCTCACGGTGGGGGCTACGAAGAACACAAGGGCACAATGAGGGCCGTTGCCGTTGACCTCGGGGCACAGCTTTAATATTTCTATGTAACGCGAGGGAGGGAAAGCGAGCGTGTGATGGTGTGTACTAAAGCAGACCGAAGCACCTCGTATTAAACACACTCCGGTGGTGCTTTACGTTCTACTTCATATGAAGCACTTCAATGAAAAAAGTCCAGAGAGGCCAACTAAACAAGGAATAATAAACTAGATCTCCCTCAAGAACTGCCGAGGCCACAAGACGCTGCCGCTTGGAGAGCTATGCTGCCACAGCTACTGCCGCATCTTCCTCTCGAGCGCCTACCCAGTTAAGCATTCAGATCAAGTGCACGTAGCACGCGGGAAAAGTTTGAGTCTTGACCTCCGGCTTTGCGGCCGAAAAGACGTTTTCAAAGGAATGGACCTGGCCTCCCTTGTATGTTACTTCAGATATGGAACTGGCACCCGTGACATACGCTTCCATAAAAGTTAACGGCTGTACTAAGTACAATAAGAACCATTGACCCACTTAATCGCAGTTCTGTGTCGCCCCGTGACACTGCGAAAAGGTGGCGAACCACAACCGCAGGATCAAACGCGGGGTAATAGCCGACCCCCCCCCATCCCCATCCCCTCCTACAAAATGCATACGAGTCTGGCACTTTTGAAATGCGGTTGAAGCTGCTTTTTCTTTTATTTCTTTATTTCTTGGCGAGCCAGCACAAATATGTGAATAATAGATGGATATTGACGTGAGGATCACCTCGGTGTGTCCACTGGTTGTTTGCTTTTGAGGCGTCCTGTGGAGGGGCGGCGGGAGTCTGGCCATCTGTCAATAACAAGTCCAGTCGCCTCACACGGCGAGCACTCCGACTGGCTCAAACGCTTCAGTGAGCAGCCCAACAGTTTGTTGTCCACGTGACGTCAGGAGGAGGCTTTTCGGGGGGCGTTTTGGGGAGGGGGGGGGGGTCCACGGAGTAAACTAGTGGCCGCACACTTGTTTAGTTATCGGGCTGTGATTACATGGAATGTGGATACGAGTTAACTTTATGCCGCTTGAATGAATAGTTGATGCTCGGGCTGCTCCCTCTTAATTGATTGGTTGACTAATCAATTAGATTTTGTGGATTGGTTAGTGAAGGTGTGCTGGGAAGCACAAGGTTGGTGGTTTGAGTCCAGGCTGCCCCATGTTCCATGTCAAAGTGTCCCTGAGCAAGACACCTAACCCCCTAATTGCTCCTCCGGCAAAAATGTGAAAAAGCCATGGGTTTAAAGTGTAATGTAAGTCGCTTTGGATAAAAGCGTCTCCTAAATGACCTGTAATGTAATGTAATGTAGTCGTTTTTACTCTTTTTCAATGCTGAATGACTTATTTCTAAGAAAAGAAAATATTGAAAGTGGTGCCGTTTAATGATTCTCTCTCACAGATCTGTTGGCTCTGTTGCGTGAACAGATTTGTTGACTAAGACTCTTTAATCGGTGAAGTAAAGTATATAGAACACAATTTCTTTTAACCTTTATTTTGCCAAATACACCACAAACACCTATTTGCAGCAAAATATTGCACAGGCTATTTGGCAGGAGAGTCAGACACAGCCTGAAGAGAACAAAAGCACCTTTTGTATGAACTTTTGTACGTCCTGTGAGTGAAATGAAAATTGCCGAAGGTCATTTTATACAGAAATCTCCACACGCGCTGAGGCTTTACGCCGTCTTATTGCAGGCAGGATGGACAGGTGGTGTTATAAAAAGACCTTTTAGCCGCTGACATCATCCACCAGGATGCCGCAACCCCCCCCCCTACTCACCCCTCCCTCTCTTTCTCTTCTTCTCTCTGTCGCTGATCCAGCCTGGGAAGCTGGTCACTGGCTGAAGCTAATGGCTGTGAGAGAGACAGAGAGAGAGAGAGAGAGAGAGAGAGAGAGACCCCATATATACTGGTTGTCCAGTGATGACCAAATGGTCTAAAAATAAAAACAAATGGAGAATGCTGAATGACATCACCGCGCCCAGATTGCTGACTGCAGTGTTTTGCGGTCATTTCCAGATGGTTTGGAAGCAGGCGTGACGGTGGGAGCTGAGACTTACTGCTGTCCTCTCAACTGACCTTCCTTATGTCACGCTTGATTAAACGAGAGAGTAGCAATCTGTTTGTGCAAATACATAATGAGTTATTAACAGACGTGTGAATATTGCATCATATAGGTTGTAACTGCGTTTTTTAACTGCAGAATCAAGTTTTTCCGCTGTTGTTTTGTAATGTCGATGTTAATGTTCACTCCAGGCTGTTGTGCGTCTGCTAATGAGCACAGCATCGTGAGGGGAAAACACACTTTCATGTTGCGTTCATGTAATTCCTTCTGTCTGCAGATGGTGCCGACAGTCTAGTTATCTTCCACTGTCATGCAAACTTCTCTCTCCTGTCTACTGTCACTCGTTTGCTCCTTTCCCGTCCACCACCAACACCGCACACATACGTGTACACTTATGCTTTGTCTCTGCTTCTTTTCTTGTCCCCCCGTCTCACTTCTTCTCTGCCTCTCTTTCCCGGCACATCCCTTTTTGTGTTCCTTTATATCTTCAGGGAGGGAACGGTTCTTAGTAAAGACGGATGTGTGCACTCACCAGGGCAGGCGTCCCCGTTGTTGCTCTGCGGAGCCGGCTCACACTTTAACACCCGGCCTGCTTGTCTGGTCTGACGGGCCGCTGCCTGGGGAAAGGAGTCTACTTCGGCTCTGTGCAGAAGCATGTGTGTTGTGGAGCTAACCGCATGGGTGCTCACACCTTCCGCAGACTCCAGCAGACTGAGCGCCAAAGACACAGATGGGTTCTTTATTTAAGGATCACACATTTTGTTGATTTACATATTGTTTGTTGAATCGAATGGTGAAATGTATTTCTTTCCCAGTTCCAACTGCCTTTACTGGTAACCAATAACCGTACTTAACCTCCTACGGTAAAATGAAAGTGCAGTGCATTGGATTTTTTTTTTACACATGGATCCCAAACAATCAGCTGATGCTCCGCTCCTGTTTAGTCAGCTGTTCGGCTTACTTGACAGATATGTATGGCCATGTTTTGATCCCAGTACATGTACATTTTTATTACATGAAGTTTGTTAGTACCCTGATTGCTTAGAAAAAACCCAAAGACCAGTGTTGCTGCGCGCATGTGCTGCATGTGTATAATCTTTTTCTTTTTTTTAACCTCCTACCACATAACTACGTCTGATTGGACACCGTTTTGCATGATGGCAATCTGCGCCTTTTTTGATGGATTCGTTTCATTTCATTGCCACGGTAAACTTTTATAACGGCTATCATTTACTGGCAGCATGCATGGACCTATTTTGTAGATCTATGCTTGATTTCTACACGTGATCTAAGGATGATAAATCACTGGGTTCACATAAATTATATTAGTGAAATATCAGCAGTGTAGGCCTTTTGTGAAGACATATGTAAATCCAGCCCGGGATGTTCGGCTGTGCAAAATTGCACTCTTCGTCTCCCCTCTAACCATACAATTTCTTTCATTTCAATCTCCGCACGCAATTGGAATATTGTCCCTCAGCTACTTCTATCATATGTAATGAATGTGCTGCCCCAAAGGTGAGAGCCGTAATTGATTAAAAACCATAATGTTTTTCCGTGCCTCAGTGTGCCCAGCGATAAGGATATCGGTGCTGTGTGAGTCGGTGTCCTCTGCGTGCATCCGTATGTCTGTGTGGACCGGACGGGACATCAAAGCCGCTCGTGCAGTGGCTCCGTTTCATCCCGGCTAATGAAGACGCCGGCGGTGGGCTTCTGGGTCACAGTGGAAACACGCACTGCGAGGTCACTTCAAAGGCGGGATAATGACGGATTAAGTGTAAATCACGGGCGCGCTTTAGTCGCTGTCTCACATCCAGCCTGTCGCTTTGCATTTTATTAACAAATCATCCCAATATGATGTGGTGTAAATGGGCCTGCCTTCATTTCCCTTTGTCCATCTTACTCTGGGCAAATCCTCTACGTCCAGATTAGTGGATCGTGGTGGGCAGAGTGGTGGACCTCTTTAAAAACCCTTGATGGCGATGAAATATTCTGTCATTAGCGTCCTTAAATCTCCACATGTAATTCATATTTTAATGCACTTTCCTTTCTGCGATTACTTAGTGCTTCATGTTGTGTCCGTGACAGTGATACAGCTTTTCACTTACGGCTCGCAACCAAGAATTATCTGTCCTCGGCTAGTTCTGCTGTCCAGAGCTCATTTAATGCCCTCCAGGCCTTAGCTCGCAGACAATGGAAAAAGTTGAGCAGACATTTCTGTACCGTAACGCAGGGTTTCACAATACTCCAACCCTTCGATCTCTACTTCAAGCAGAAATAGCTTCCTCGATTTCACTTCTCCTATGACTCCTATGGGCGAGGGGATGGCATATAAAGTGTAACGTACTGTTTTGCTGGCGTTCATCTTGTTCAGTGCGTGACCCTCCCATTCTTTGGCCTCCGGCCTGCGCTGCCTATGAAGATACAGGTATGTAGGAAGCACTCGGGGAAGTCTAATTGCTGCCAGAGTGATTTATCCTCCCGTAGAACCTCCAACAGCACTCAGGTAATCTCATCAACAACAT